GGGGGTGTGAAAGTAGTCATTTCTTGATAAAAGTTCACAGGAAAAACATTTTGCAGATTTTCGTATCAGCCATGTGCTCAAATCCAACTCGCATGTTAACACCCTTTTTTTGTTGAATCTTCTTTTACCTCAGGAAAGGGAAGCATATACCATTACCTGCTGCTGCCGTAAAATAAAGCAAGCAGGTAGCTTTTTTAGTTGTAGTTCTCAATGACTGAAAAGTCCCCATCTTGTTCTTTTTAATTTCAGAAAGGAAACTGAATTATGATGTCCAGAACAAATACTGCACAGAACTGAAGTAATCTTCTCATCCTACTCTAGTTTTAATTTCTGTTTGAAAAAATGAAAAACACACACTCTGATTCTGATGCTATTTTCCTGAGTAAAATAACATCCTTCATTCCAATAATTAACACTTTGGAAAACGTAGAGAGAAGGAACAAAATCCAGTGCATATAAAAACAAAAATGGTCCCTCTAGGGGATCAACTCAACTTCCAACTCAATTTTTCCCTGGGATTGTAGCATTTTTTATTTGTTTAGATATCTCATGTTGATTTGTAAATTTCATAACCTATTCTGAAACAGAGTTATTTTTATGAATACTTTATGTAATAGTAATCCAAATAAGGATTTCTTTTTAAGGTCATTTACAACTTTAATCATACTGATATAAAGAAAAAGAGTAATTAAGTAGAGAAAAAATAACTCTCCTGGTCTGCTTCTCAGCAGGTGTCATATTGCCAAGTGTGACTCTAAGCTGTGGGTTACTTGTAAAGACAGAACTGTGACACATGAAGAGCTAGTGGGCAATACTCTGAGAAGTTTACCCCGCACTTATTTTCTCCAGCAATTCCCCCTATTTTCTGTCATTTATCATCTGCTTCCCCCACCAAAGCGCCTCATATTCCACTCTTATGATCCTCAGAATTCAATTATTTCTTAATGGGCACATGGAAGTTAGCAGCAGCTGTGTACTACCCAATGGCTCTTTTCACTGCACAGGATTTCAGAAAACAAGAGTCTTCCCTGCAACAGGTTGCACATGTGAAAATGTGACAATACAGAGAAGGAAATACGAACAAATGTCACCTTCCTCGCAGTTGTATACATTTAAAAAGGCAAAGTTTGTGTATTCTGCAAAGCAAGTTAACTTAGTAACATTATTCAACATCTTTCCTACTCAACAATGATTATCATGAACTTCCATAGGATTCTTTCTTAGATGACAGAAACGAGCAGCAAAACCAAAGTAATGATATGCTGAGAAGAAAATAAAGGCAAAATTAAGTGATGGATGGTTTAGGCCCAGGATCTAGATCTTTTTTTTAAAAAAATAAAAGACATATTTATCAACAGGTTTTAACAAAATCTTTATTTTAGTACTTTCTATCTTTTGACAATATTCTCTTTAATAAGCCTAGTATGCAGTACACAGTGGTTCATAAATACAAAATACTCCTACATAGTCATAACCTTCTCTATGGCAACAGACTATACTATCTAGATATAAGACTACAAACGCACATTGGATGGCTCAGCAATGATCTATATGTGACCTTTGACAAAGATGTTTCTTTCAGCTCAGAAGGAAAACCAATAGTTGCCTAAAAATAGGGTTAAAACTATATAAAGCAATTTTAGGATTGCTTAAGGGAAAGTAAATAAAAATTGAGATAAACTAAAACTAGTGGCAAAAGCCACAGAGGAAATCAACAAAAAGTGAAAACGATGAAGAAGAAGATGGGAATACGGGAGTATTTGTCAACAGCCCCACAGTGATTTTATATGAAAAACAAAACAAAATACTGTAGTTCTGGAAGCAAAATGAACAGCATCCTCATCGTCATCAGGCATGCTAGCTTGGAAAAAATACTTTCACCTTAATAAAAGGAATCAAAAAACCTAGAGTGTTTCTCTGACTGCTGATCAAAGCAACAAAACTGACTACAATTAATACAGTCTATCTTCCAGATTGGTCTCTGGAAGGGGAGAAGAGTTCAGATCCCCCACAAGAACCCGTCTGTTGTGAAGACCTTACTTGGACTATGCTGACCGGAGAAAAATTGCTGTTTAAGGCAAATATCCATGTAAGGTGGTTTTGTTGTCTTTTTTGTTGTTTCTTTATTGTTGTTTTTTTAATTAACAAGACCATTACAGCATCTGGCCCATACAATTCTTCTTGAGACATACTGAAAAAGGGAAACTTGAAGCTTTTCTCATACACGTAAGAATTTGCGCTTTGTGCGTCTTCCTGTAATAGTGCAGTATTCAAGAAATCAGATGATTCAACAGGTAGGTGTTGTTACATACAGTTAGCATGTGGTAAATAGTATCAATCAGTAATGTGCACTGGAGAAAAAGTGAGAGAACATTTTAAAAAATACATTTATTTACTTATTGCATACATAGTTTTAAGAAACTGTATGCTGCACTTATTTAAATGCCACTTTCTGTGAAAGTTAAAGAATTTGGAAGTAGCGATACCTGAGCACAGACTAAAAAGACTTCCCTGGCCAGCATATTCCTTAACTTCATATTTTGAAAACTCAAAGGTAAGTTTTGTTAAGCAGATAAATTAACCTTAGTCTTTCATTTTCAGAAATATTTTCTCCATAGAACAACGTTCAAGTAGCAGATAAAGGTTATCCTGCCACCTTGCAAAACCTTTTGTGGCTGATGCTCTAGTTCTTGGGGTGATGTGGCCCTTTTGACCCCACTGTACATGCACTGAAACAGCAAGAACACAGAATCTACCCTGTGAAAAAAAATCCAATCCTAAATCTATTTTGATTATTCATATCTCCAAGCTTATCTATGCAGGAGTCTCTAGGAAAATCCCAGAACAGAGCAGAAGAAAATGCAGACTTTATGTTAGAATTGAAAACTACTCTAACAACTAGAAGCACAGAAATTCTCAAATATTTGAGAAGCCCTCAGCATGAAAACAGAAAGAAGCAGAGCTAGTTCTTTAGTTTGTGCCCAGACTTTCTCTAGTACTCTACTAGAACACGATTGCATGTTAAGAAGTAAACGCAGATGCTATTTAAATACTATTTAAATGTTCCATAGAACTTTTACCACAAATTTGTGTCTATTAGTCTTTCCTTTTTCACATCATTCAAATTCTAGTTGCCTCAAAGTTTAAAAAAAAAAAAAACAAACAAAAAAAAACACCACACACACAAACAAAATCCTAACAATTCA